AGCTACAGAGTTCGTATTTGATAGCAGAGAAATCAAATAACGTAAACAATACAGATTCTTAACCTACTTTTTTAACGGAACGGGGTGCTTTTTAGTTTTAGTCGGTAAGAGTCTGACACTCACTCTCGCCTTACCCAGGCGGGAGAAGTCATTGTGGTGATTCCGTAAGGGCAACCCGGGTCACGGTCACAGGCAGTGAAGGAACACCGCGGTGGTTTTAGCCGGTATGAGTCCGGCTCGCCCCCTCGTCGTCCCCACGGCGCGGGAAGTCCATGAGGATTTCCATCGCGATAGAAAAAAAAAAAAAAAACAGGCGGGAACAGTCATCCGATGATTTGCCTCCCTTAAAAAAACCTTCAATTCGAACTAAAAATAAAAATATGATGTAACATTTTTATCGTCCAAAGGCTGGAGAATATCGGTGTTCGGGGTGTTGCTCTTTCTCTGTTTGATAGCTACCTAAGCGGTAGGAAGCAGAGAGTAAAAATAAACAATTATCATAGTATGGAGGAGGAAGTAGTTTTTGGTGTGCCACAGGGAAGTGTACTGGGACCGACTCTATTTCTCATTTACATCAACGAACTGTGCAAACTGAAAAGTTGTGGTGGGAAAATATTCTCATACGCTGATGACACAGCTATTGTATACTCTGGCGAAAGTTGGAAACTGGTTCACCAAAATACTGAACACGGCCTATTGGTAGTGGCAAACTGGCTAAAAACTAACCTATTAACCTTGAACTCATCAAAAACAAAATACATCGCTTTTTCTCCCAGCAAAAGAACACAGCCGGACCACAGCTATCGAATCACTCTTCACAAATGCCAATTACATAATACTCAAAAATGTGCATGTCAGAGCATTGAACGGGTCCCCTCAATAAAATATCTAGGGATAATTCTTGATGAGCGCTTGTCATGGCACTTGCATATAGATAGCATCATATCTCGAGTGAGGAAACTAGTTTGGTTATTTAAAACATTACGTTTTGTGATGTCCTCGGAAGTACTGAATAATGTTTATTATGCTTTAGCACAATCAGTAATTATTTATGGTATACCCGTGTGGGGAGGTGCCACTAAAAGTAAACTTATAGAACTAGAAAGAGCTCAGAGGTTAATTATAAAGGTGATGTATTTCAAACCTTATAGATATGCAACTGAAGATCTATATAAGCTTAGTGGTTTGTTAAGTGTAAGGAAATTGTACATTCTGAACGTGACTTTAAATCTGCATAAATCTCTGCCATACAGTAAACCCCAACAAGACAGAAGGCGAGGAGGTATCGTGGTGCACACTTCTAAAGTCCGAACAACTCTTGCTAAGAGACAGTATGTGACGCAGGCATCTTATATCTACAATAAAATAAACGCAAAAATCAAAATTTATCCCAGACTTCTCAGTGAATGTAAGAGGTTATTAACGGAATGGTTAAAAACTTTGTCGTACGAAGACACTGAGAACATTTTGATTAGAATTCAATAACAAACATACAAACACCATACAAACAGATACATACACACATACATACATATACATACATACATTCATACATACATAAACTCACTCACTCACTCACTCTCTTTCTCACACACACACAC